CTTTTTAAATCTTATTAATGAGAATTAAAACTCTTTTTTTTTTCCCTTGGAAGTTGTCCCTGCCAAGGTCTCTGATTTCCCACTGCCAAATTATCAAGCCATTCTGATCACTTAATCATTCAAAGAATTATTGATATCTCTCAGTCCTAGTGAGCCAAGTCAGGAAAGCTCCTTCGTGCTGCCTGTCACACAGTTGTTCATCCGTAGCTGAGCAATGTCAGTGGCAAGCCACCACAAGCAAAGAAAACAGAAAATTGGTGCATGTAACAGTATTTCAAGAAAAGTTAAAAGCTCAGTGTCAAGAGAATGTTGTCAGAAAAAAACAGGTATCCTAATGATGATGAGTGTGGGTCCCCGACAACCATCAGCCAGGCTTTCTTATTCCGGTTCCTCCACTCACAAGCCATGTGACCTTAAGCAAGTTACTTTGTGTCTCTGTGCCCTCATTTCCTCTGAGTCTTTTCTTCTTTTCCATTTTCTTTTCTCTTGGGTATGAAATATTACAGGTATCTTCAATTCTTTAGTAGTTTATAGACCTTCAGATGAACTCGACAACCAGAACCTCTTCCTGGAGGTATCTTCAAAATAGTCTTTTTCTCTTTATTCCAGAGTTGTGTCTCAGGTTCTGAATTCTCCTCTACTTTGAAACCTTACTTCTTTAAACAACTGATGCTGAGAATTTTAATAATCTTCTCTGACACAAATATATAGCGCCTTCTTCTGGAAGCCCCATCACCTTACATAAAAGGGCAATCTTCCTTTCTATGTCCACAAGGTCCATTTTCAGAAGAATCTAAAACCCTCACATTTTTTCAATGTTTCTGATCTGATTGTCCTATTCTGTTCTAGTCCTCTCTCTTCTATTCTCCTGTACTCAAAGTTTCCTTCATCTTCTTTATTCAATTCACCTAGATTAATCCAATTTCACCTACACTTTCTTTTTGAAAAAAAAAAAGATTTTATTTATTTATTTGAGAGAGAGCGAGAGAGAGAGCACAAGCGAGGTGACAGGCAGAAGGAAAAGCAGACACTCTGCTGAGTAGGGAGCCCCACGCAAGGCTTGATCCTGGGACTCTGGGATCATGACCTGAACAGAAGGCAGATGCTTAACCGACTGAGCCGCCCAGGTGCCCCTCGCCTACACTTTCAGCTCCACACTTATTCACATCAATTTGACTAATATTTAAGCATGGTGGATACAGAAACGATGTTCCTAAACTCAGAGCTTGTATTTTGGCTGCGAAGGACAGACAACAAATCAGGAAATATATAATGCCTAGGTGGTAGTACATTTTAAAAGAAAATTAAGCAGACTAAGAGGACACTATCTAGAGGTAGAACTGTCTAGGAAACTTTGTTAGAGAGGGCCTTTCTGATAAGGTGATATTTGAGCAGACACGTGAATGAGGTAAAAGAGTAAAAAATTCAAAAATCTGATCTATTGTTCTAGGTAAGAGCCCAGGCAGGCATCAGCATCTTTAAAATCAGGAAAATGACTTCTATGAGCCTCAGTTTCCTTCTCTGTAAAATGATGATGATGATAATACCATCATTTTCACGTTGTTGTAAACATTAAAGATAATGTTTAACAAAAGATTAGACAAAGACCTGGTGTCCAACACCTGGGTAGCTCAGTTGGTTAAGGGTAGGACTCTTGATTTCAGTTCCGGTCATGATCTCGAGGTCATGAGGTCACCCTGCATCAGGCTCCACACTCAGCAGGGAGTCTGCTGGAGATTCTCTCCCTCTGCCCTTTGTGGAATGTCAAATTTTAGTATATACACATATTACTTTCTGAAAACTGCCTAAAAAGCATTTCAGAGTTTATAGCAAATTATGTCAAGCTGATAATATGGAAGGCAGCATAATGACGGAAAGAAATACAAGTTTGAGAAACAGACAAATCTCTGAATCCAAGCACCCTAATACCCTGGATCTAAGATCTTGGGCAGGTTATACAATCTTTCCAAGTTTCAGTTTCTATCTGTATAATGGGTTGTGTTAAGGATTAAATAAGCTGAAATATGAAAAAGGCCTAGCATAATCTTTGACCTGATCAAATGCTGTTTCTTTCTGCATAGCTTCTTCCGCATTTATGTAGGTCAAGTCACACCATTAGGTCATATAATTTGATGCACAGAATTAAACACGTCACCTCTTATAGGAGAAATGTTTAAAGTATAATCCTACATGGTCACTATAATCTTGAGGTCATTGGGGTATGAAGGGATGGCAAGGAGAACAGGAAAGATAAAGGCTTGTAATCAACTACTTCTACCAAATTCCCCAAAATTCTGTACAAAGAGAAGCCTTTTACAGAAATTTTTTGCTCGATAAATTTTGTCCACATTAGGAGTGCTTTTTCATTTTACCAAAAGTAAGAAAGTCCATCCTCATGGGATTTGACTTTCCTAAGCCCCAATAATTACAACCCCTCTAAAAAAAAAAAAAGCCTCCTCCAAAGGAAAAAAAAGTCCTGAAGTCTAACGTGTTACTGTATCACATATCTATTAAATGTCAAAATGAAAAGATGTTCAGTCAATTAAAGAGAATAACCAAAGATACGAACACAAAATGAAGTGGGGTCATTTTGAAAAGTTCTTTTAAATCAGAAACCAAGTTTTAAAACAGAAGAGACAGAATATAATTCAAATCCTGGTTGGATCCCAAATTTAGACATTGATCCTTTCACAGGTGGTATACTAAAATGGGTTCATTCATTCAGCAAATTTTCCTAGGAGTCTAGCACATATCAAACATCTGGCTAAGCAGCAGGGATGCCACAACAGATACAGTTTGAAAACACCTGTCCTGGGAAGGCACCTACTGATGGGGCAGCAACGACTGGTAAGTGAGTATCTGGTAGGCAGATGATGATAATGAGAAGTGCTACGGAGACGAATAATAATGGCAGAAAGTAGGGATACAGAATGCAGTGTCCAGTAAAGTAGGCTTCCTATTTTAAATAAGGTGGCCAGGGAAGTCCTCCTCACTGTGGAGGTGACATTAGGGGAAAAATCTCACAGACGTGAAGGAGTGAGTCATAAAGCCCCCTGGGAGAAGAGCACTCCTGACAGAGAAAATCACTAGTGAAGAGCCTCTGAGGAGGGGCTTATAGAGCAAGCACAAGGCTGTGTGTGTGGCTGACATGAAGCGAGCCAGGGAGAAGAACAGGCCAAGAGGTATCTCAGGGGCCAGATCCAGGGACTAGTGGGCCATCCATAGGGCTGTGACTTTTAATGTGAGATGAGGAACCACTGGTGGGTTCTGAGGAAAGGACTGAAATGAGCTGACATTGAACTACTGCTATACTGATTGATGTAGGTGTGTATTGGAGTGGACAGAAGCAGGGAGACAATAATCAAGATAGTGGTTTGGACTATCATATAGACCGAGGTTTTATCCTGAGAAAACTCTCTTTTCTAAGATGGGAAGACCGTGAAGAAGTGGGTTTGTTGGTTTGTTAGTTGGCCTGTTGGCTGGTTTTGGGTGGGGATGGGTGAAATGGAGATCAGTTTAAGAAATCTGTTAGACCTCCAAATAGCAACATCCCATAGAGAAAGCAGTTGAATATACATATCAGAGTTCAGGGGAGTGGTCCTAGCTAAAAGTAAATGTAAGATTTTTCAGAGTAGAAGATGAGAGATGAGATAAGCTCAAGGAGATAACACACAACTATCTCAGGAGCAGAGAAGGAGCTGTTGGTGAGATGGGAGGACAAGGAGACAGTCTATCTCCTAGAAGCTCCGCGAAAGAACTATTTTAAGGAGGAGCAGGTGATCCACAGTGGGGAAAAAAATGTGGCCTCAAGGACTGATCATTGGGTGTAGCAACATGGAGGTCACTGGTGAAGACAGTCAGTGGAGCAAGTGGTGGGAGGGGACAATGGGAGGGACAGGAGTTGGTGACATCAAGTAAGGCCCACTCTTGGAGGGGCTTTGCTATAAAAGGAAACTGAGAAAGGAGAGACTGCAGATTGGAGAAGTGGGATGAAGAGAGGGATTCTTCTGAAAGTAGAAGAAATTACAGAAGTCTGGTGACAAGGAGGGAAAGGAGGCCAAGGCTGGAGCAGCACCCAGAGTCTGGAGGAGTGAGGGAGTCTCCGTCCCAAGAGAAGGGGCTGGTCCCAGACAGGAATAAAGGGAGTGGGGTCCTCGAAAGCTGCACTCCCTCACAGGGAGACAGGGCGGGCAGAGGCCCGGAGGCAAGGAAGAGGTTGAATGCGGAAGGAAAGGAAGTCCCCAACCTACCAGACCAGTAAATGCTACGGGTCTCTCCGAGAGTAAGTATGGAAAGCCATAAAAAGCCCGAAGCAGCTGCTGCGAACCCAGAAGGTATAGACATGTGAGAGGCTCGTGTCATTATGTATGGGAAGGGATCTTAGGATTGCCACACAAGTAGTCTGGGACAGGGCAAGTCAGGGAAGGGAGAATGGAGGGAAGGGAGTGGAGAAAAGGCCACACACAATCTTAAATTCAATATTTCACTCCCATTAAAGATAAGCTGTTTATAAGCTTCAGTGTAGGGCACATAATTCTATGTAAAAACTCTGTGGTTCCTCTCCCCAAACATAAATCACGATCATTCCACACCCTGCTCTCTGGGAGTCCTCAAGGCAAAGAGACAAGACTTGAGGTATAGTAATAAAAATCTGGGTATTATAAAATCCACCCTGAGCGCCAAGTAGAAAAGAATAACAAGAGGAGAGCTCTGAAAAGTACTTGTTTACCCAGGCACAATGCAGCATTATAAAATTTTATTAACATCCCCAGGAACCCAAATGCCCACCTTGATACCTATGTGAGATTTTTTTTTTTACTCAGTTATGAATATACGTGCTTTAAGGGTGTGCAATGAAGTCTTTTTAGACTAAATGCCTTGATAAAATAATGAATATTAAATATGTCTCAGACCCGCAAAAAAGGACTGAGCACAGGATTGTCTCTGTGGCAGCTGAGGAGTGCCCCCTACAGTCTGATGTGCACAACGCAAGCAGATGACAAGGAAAGAACAGAGCCGCAGTGTCTGAGGATTCTCAGTAAGGCCTCAGCGAAAGTAAGGTAAGAAAGCTCGGCTGACAAAATGTGACTTTAAAGCCTAAGAAATATGCGGACACTAGCAATGCCTATTTTTACATATTTGTGAACAGCAAGGAATGAAATACTTTTGCATGAATTTGACTATCGCCACCTATTGCCTACACCTAAAGAAAATGTAACCTCTTAGTAAAGTCTGTTTTTATTCCTTGGTTATTTTACAACAGTATTTGAATATACATGAAAATAACAGTGAAAAGAAACATTATATTTTGCTATGCAAAAGAAAATTGTATCTGGGATCAGAAATCATTTGATGTTAGTAGCATAAAAAGAAAGTGTAACGTATTTATTAAAATGAAGTTCTGGTTGGAGGTTTATTCCTTTTTGTAAAGATTTCACAGAGAAGTATTTTCTTTCTGTGAACATTCTCTCTTAAAATGTTAGTGATTTTCAAAATAAAAATCACAAGAAGACATGAAAGACATATCCCATGGTTAGCAATATATTTCAAGATACTATATAAATAGATAAAAAATATCCTGTCAAATATGTTATACTAATATTCAATATTATACACTGTATAAAATATATTAAAATATTATTTGAGGTGCATAAAGTTTTATGATATATCAACAGATCAGTTAATACATTTCATATGTAATCATATATTCCAGTTTAAATTTCCATTTGCAAGAAAAAGGAGAGACAAAACATATACTAAAAACCTTTGAAATTTTTTAATGGAAATGTTTTGAATACTAACATAGGAGCAATCTAAGTGTACCAGTGCATTGGATGTTTGTAACTATTAAATTAAAAGCCAGAATTATACAAATGCTTAGCAAAGGACACAGAAATATTTATCGAAGCTAATCGCCTTTTACATGATCTTTGAATAAATACAGATCTTTGGAAAACTGCATTTAACATCATCAAATGTTCATTTAGACGCAGTTTCACATATACTCATGAGATATACATAAGTGTATGTGATTAAATTGATAAATTATACTTTAAGCATTTTCATAAAGAATGTTTCTCACCCTCAGAAAGAGGCAATTAGGGTCATATGGCTTCAATACTTGTTTTTTCCTTAGGAATTTAATAAAATTCAATCTAATATCCATATATCATTGCTTGCTCTAAAATTATAAATAAAATTCTATAATGATGAAATTTATCAAATATATTCTTTCCCATATGTAATAAAAGCTCCAATACTTAAGAAAAACTGCTTTATATGTAAATCTTCCTAAGTATTCCGGTTATTGACCTAACAATCACAATTGTCTCTTTCCACCTGGTAACAATATATATGTGATGCATTCAGATGTTAAAACACTTGTGGAAATGCCTGCTAAAAAAATATCAGTATATAGCCCCACAAATGTACATTCAAATTAATTAATCTGCTTTCGTATTTAACTACTCTTTTGAATTCACTCACCCACTTATAGAATCCTTGCCAAAATGCAGTTTAAAATTAAATTTTGTAATATGAAATAATTAAAATATTTCAACACTGCCATGATTCTTCAGTTTTTAACTCAAAAAAAGGGAGGAAAAAAAAGAATGATGGAAGGAAGGAAAGAAGAAATAAATCTCACTGATTGATTAAATAAAATTAACATTTACAAGATAACATTTGTAAAATTAACAATTTCCAAAAGAAATTGAAATTAACAATTTCTAGAAATAACACTGATCCAGAATGAAATTTTAATGTTCCTGGATAACAATTATAAATAAGAAACTAAAATGTACCCGAGCCTTAAATATTATATAATGTTGATTATACAGATTTGACTTGCAGAAATGTACCAAAGAGCAATTAAGACCATTTTAAATAAACTTTTATTCAGATTGAAAACATAACTGTAGGTTGTGTATACTCGCTCGGTGTTTAGAAGATATCATAAATTCAGTCACTTCCTCATGCCCCAGAAAATTCGAACATTTTTTAGAAAGGCTATTGCTTTCATACTATTCCTACCATGAAAAATGCTACCTTTTTTGGCTAATACAAAGAAACCACAATTAACAGTGAAACCATAAATACTTTCTGTGTTAACCACAAATGGCCTTTCCCATAGAGAAATGGCTTACATGTGTTCTAAATGTGTTTGGTTTCATTTCGTATGGAAGGAGCTGTGGGTATGTTTTTATCTAAGAAAAGAACATGGCATGCACATGCACAGCTTTCTAAAATGAGAAACACTCATTGAATTTAATCGGAGTTTTGTCTGGGCCGGAAATTCAGAATTAAGCTCCATGGGTGATGATTTTGGATTCTCTGGACAGGACTTGGGACTCTACTTGCCAAACTTTCTTAGACTCTCGGTGTGACACAAGGCAGGAGGACTTCTGCCTGTGTCCTAGTATCATATCTTGTGTAACTGTGGTCGATCTCATGAATGCATAGCCTTCACACATTTCCACTGGATTATCCGTTCAGTTTGGGTCAGTCCCATACTCCACTGTCAAATGCTCTGGTTCAATCCTCTGTGTGTGTCTGTCTGTGTGTAATTGTACCTAATTTCTTGAGTATTCACTCATTATGTGAACATTAAAAAGTCTAGGGAAATCTACATATGTTGATGTTAAAAATCATTTCTCTATTTGAATATAACATGTGCAGGGTCATTTTTTTAAAATGTCCACACTCTGAGAGTACATAGGAAAGAGGTAGGGCCTCTCACAATGTGACCTTTTGCTCACTTCCATAACTGAGTCTCCTTGGAAAAGCTCTAAATGGAAATTAAATCAATTTTTGTTCTATAGATTTTCAGTGCTCACATATAAAATAAGGAAATCCAACAGAAAATTAGGAATTGTTCAGAATATTCTTTACCCAATTGAGTTTATACCTACAAAATAAATACATCTGACCAAAAGATTCTCCCCATACAAATTATCTTTGGAAAACTTTTTGAAAAAAATGTGTCCCAATAATGATGCACCTAGTCCTCCATTTTAAGTTGATCTTAATAACTTATAGGACCAATGTAAAACATAAAAAGGCAACTTTCCTATCATTTGTAAGCTTAAAACAATAAACTGAACATTTGTTTTTTCATTCTGTTTACATTAAATGTGCTAAGAGAATCACTAGTTTTAAAAAAGAAAGCTATAATCTTCAGGGCTCTATAAGTTCTCTCATAAAAAAAAAATAAGCTGAGTGCTCATTGCACTAAAACCAACTAAAAAAGAAAAAATATCAGTTCAGAAAATGAATAAACTCAATTGTTTAAGTGTCACGCAGATGGAACTATTGATTATCAGTTGATGGCTTTTTATAATTTGTGAATTTGTGATTAATTTAAATACAAAAATCAATTATAAAACAAAAAGGCAGGTGATCTGTGATTCAAAATTAGGATTCTGTGGTTGGTTGATTCATTTTCAGGAGGATGAAGTTTAGAGAGGGTGTGGCAGCTTTTGCTGGGGTGGGGGTCTAGTGCCTGAAGAAAGAGGCAATGCAATTATCCACAACTGGAGGTCTTTATTTACCAGAGGAACTATTTCCCTTTATTTTGAGCTACATGGTATACTCTAATAACACTTGAAAAGTCTTTTATTTTGCTTCCAGCCATTATCTTTTTAAAAAGTAGAATCAAATATATAAAGTCCAAAAACCTGTATTAGTCTTTGACATATTGAGAATTAAGCTTATCTGTTTGTAACCAGGGCAGTTACTCCATATTTAAAAATTTTATCAGATGTATCCTGGGCGTGTGTCATGAAAGACGTTACGATTTTAATTATAGTTAAAAACTTCAAGGTAATGAAAATAAAATATTTACCTCATGAGAAAAATTGTAAACACTTTTGGTTAATCCATGTTTCTTAAAAAGAAATTTATAATGCAATAAAAAAATTCCTAGAAATAATTTTAGTATAACATGATATTAAGAAGACAACTTTTGAAGTTGCTAATGAAAGAAATAACTAATTTGTCTTATTACATAATGCTCCATTTGACCATTTGAATCAAAAATGCTTTCATAAAGATGGCAGGGAGCAGGAGACCAAAAAAACAAACAAACAAACAAAAACAAAAACCCCACTTGATTTTAAATATTTAAAGATCTCTCCCTGAAAAAAAAAAAAATTATCTTGTAAAACAGAACAACTATTTTTCTCCTCAATATATTTCCATCCTCAATACATTTCCATTTCTAATACCAGCAAAAGAAAACAGATATAATCCACATCACCTATAACTATTTTTACTGTCACAGGAATATTAAAACAATAATATTTTACCAACAGCATCAGTCTTATAATGATGTCTTAAAAAACATACTCTCTCATCTTTTACATTCACTTATTTATGAAATAACTATGAGAAGTTCCCTTTTGAGATGATTCTCAAAATTCCCCCAAGGGTTGCCATTCATTTTCCAAATGCTGAAAATTCTCAGGAGAAACACACTGGGTTCTTTGTCCACCTGTATCTGTTGTTTCTTAAAGTGAGACTCATGAATTACATTAGAATTTATCTCTAACGCTTGCTTAAAATGAAGACTGGAATACCCGGTCGGGCCTGGGAATATGCATTTAACCATTCCTCCAGGGCTTGTGACACTCACAGACGCTGGAAACGCCCTAGAATGGAAGCTCTGGGAGCGCAGGGCCTTCCTAACCTGTCCTCCCTCTGCACCTGGCCCAGCACCCAGCAGAGCCCTGCGCTGGGCAGACACCGGTTTAAAGGCATATCGCTGTACCATCGCCCTAATGTCTGAGACCCACAGCAGTCCTTAGCTTCTGCCTGTGGAGGGTGGGTCCCCTCTTCCTTAAATTCCTGCAGCACACTCCATGCACCCAGTTCTTGGAAAGTGTGGGGAGCCAACGCCTTGCTTTATGTGTTACTGAAGTGAACTGCCATTCCAACTAGATGATAAATTCCTGAAGGAGGAGGTTTGGATTTGGGTTTGTTTTTTTTTTTTCTTTTGCTCATTCAACACTCACTAAATATTGAGCACTCAGTCCATGCCAACTACCTATGTCTAGAACTGGAT